TCCATGCTTTATCAGTCTATATGTCATAGAATCTGTCATCAGTCCAACAGCTGTCTGTCTCTGAGTCCATCCCACGTTCCACATCTCCAAGGTAAAGCCTGTCCTTGCCTCGCAAACTGTTTGGTATCCTGAGAGTGTCACTGCATTTGGGCCCGAAATATTCCAAAAACCATGACACAATAAAGGTTAAGAATTTCTTGTATAAAAGCAAGAAATTCTTATAGAGATTTCATAAAGGACTTATTTTATTCCACTTATAGAGATAGAGATGTGAGAATAATTTTTAAAAATTATGATAGTTTCAATTTCTTTATAATCTGTTTTTGGTTGGTGCTGGTGGCCATTTTCTATTTTTCTTCAAGTAGAGTTAGACAAAAAGGGGGCAGAAAGATGGGGGAAGACTACACCACACGATGCCCCAAGTTTAATGATTTTTTTTTTTTTGGGGGGGGGGGGGGGGGGGGGAGGTTTACTGGTATCATAGGTTCAAAGTTTTTATCCTGAAAAAGCATTGAATCCCAGGACAGGGAAAAAAGAACATTATTACACATGAAAGCGTGGATATTACTTTTTTTTTTTTAATTGTGGATTTTAGGGTTAGTAGATGAGAGCTTAGTATACCTCATTAGCGTTTTATTATTTTCAAAAATCTGTTTTTACTACTAAGGACTGCATTGCACAGTGAGCTGTTATTACGAGAAGTAAAACCAAACATATTCAGATTTACACTGAAAATAACAGATACCGTGAACTATTGCCAGATTAAAAGATTTTGCAAACATATCACTTCTATTTAAAAATATAAGTTAGAAATCCTTGTGATTTGGTTTCAGAATAGGCTGTCCCAGAAACCAGTTAGGAAATATGGAAATATTTATTTTCAACAAAACGACATTAAGCTGCAGATCATTTACATGACAAACAACTTACTCATTCACACCAACGCAACCATCTGTCTCTGTGTGGTTTAATAGGCTGCAGTAATATGTTGAAAGTCATTTTTTCAACATGACTTCTGAATACTTTCACAGGAAACCAGCCATACACATGACATGATCACTCACAGACAGCAACAGCTGAAGAACTCACCACTGGAGCAGTTGGAACCCCCCCAGCCTGGTTCACATCGACAGGTGTTGGGTGCCATACAACTGCCATGAACACAGCTGTCTTCACAATGTGCTGTGCAAGGAGGAAGCAGACACAATAATGAATTCATTTGACTTTTTTAATTTTATGTGAATTAATTTCAGATTATCTATAGATTATCCACAATGTAATTTAGAAAATAGCCAATATACAATTGAAACCACAAGTTTCCATACAATGAATCAAAAGATATACACCTTTTTTCCTTAGTTTCTGAAGACATTAGACCACACTTCCCCTGTTTTAGGTTAGTTACAATTATCAAAAACATTTCCATTTACCAAATTTAAGCAGTGAGAAAAATATCAGAAGACGATGTGATACAATTGGAAAGACAAAAGAAATAAACCAAAATAGCCAGAAAAGAATTGTGGAGTTGCACAAGTCTTGTTTATCCTTAGGAACAATTACAATCAAGGAACAATCAACAATGAAGGTGCTGTGTTAATCTGTTCAAACTAGGAATGAAAATTATTTATAGGTTAATTAATTGTTTGCATTTTTTGCAATTGTTAACCATTAATGTCTACTTAGATATTGTCTACTTATTCATTATTGGTTAACAATAACCAATAAATAATTTTGGCTGGATGGCAGTCAAAATTCAAAAGTGTTGAATTCATGAGGACTTTGTCTTAATGTTAAGACAAAGTCCTAATATGGTGAAAAAGAATAATTTTACGTGTGTGTGGTTCTGCATGTGTATACAGAGAAACAAGAGTAATGGCAGTGGTGGGAGGGGATACAGGCACTCACGAGCACACATCTCTCCAATTTCAAAGAAGCCTGGGCAACACTGTGACTTTATCCTGTACATGATTTTCTCTCCTCTCCGATAAGCTGTCCGATACATCTCCCTGTAATCACACAGAGAACAGAGGTCACTTGTTGAGGACATTTAGGTTATGGAAAAAGGTTTAACAAATTAACTAGCTTTCACAGGTTATAAAACAGCTGATTATAAAAAAGTGAGCCACTCTGTCATCATACGTATATGATGTATGAGAAGTGAAAATTGTACTTTGATAAAACACCAGGTACAAAATCTGTAATCTCTTAGATGTATGCTAAGGTGTGTTCCTCACCTGTATCTGGTGCACTTGAACCATTTGAGGATGTCTGGACAGTTGGTGTAATAAATCTGATCAAAACTATAAGCATAAGACTCCGTCACCATCCTTGAGTAACTGAAACCATAAAAAGACAGAAGAAAGACACTTAAAACTTACAAGCAAACTCAGTATGTCTGTTGTGAGAAGGTAAGATAAGTTAAAATTTCAAACTGTTCAGTGTGCCACTTCTATCTGACCACTGTTTTTCAAAGTAATGCGAGATAAGTGTGAGAATTGAAGTCTGTCCAAAAGAATTTGGTTGCAGGGCTTGAAACAAAACTCCCGCATGACTGTCTCATGAATAACCACACAACATGCTCTTTCTACAGTAATCACATTCAATCACTAACACCAGTGAGTTTCAAGCTCACCGGTGTTAGTGAGCTTGAAACTTACTATCTTTTTTATTTCTTGCTCTGCACCTTCTCCTGTCCCCCATTTTTCAAAATATTCTATTCTTTTGAAAATAGAGTTTATTTAACTACTGTGAGCGAACATATTTTTTGTTTCTTGATAAAATCAGTTTAACTCAAATTTTATTTGTAAAGAAGGACCTTAAATCAGATAAAGGAGAGTCTATTAAAAGTACTTCTTGCAAGTTTTCTCAGCACTTGTCCAAGCCCTACACAGAAATGTCTGCAGAATTCTGATTCACCTCTCCCAGTGACTGCAGACGTTTGGATCATCCAGATTGAGGGAAGATGTATTATAAGGGAGAGACCAGAAGACCACAGTTGAAAGGACCGTCATATAGTACCCCATTAACTCAGCCATCATAATAGGAGCTGCACCTTAAGTTGGAGAACGAGAAAAAAAAAATCAGTTAAATGTAGGAGCACTTAAAAGTTAAACTGTTGTTTGAATTGGTGCATAAATGTACATAATGTGTTCTTACACCTTAAGTAAAAAAGGTAAATCATAAGTACATTTATTCTATTGTGAAAACATTTGAAGTAACTACTTAGCGTGCTCAATAGTTAGTTTTAGGGTTAGGTTAGGTTAATTTTAGTTTAACTGCATCGTTAAACTTACCACTCAAATCTGCAGTTAATTTGAATCCAATTCAGTTTATTTATCCATCCCTCCATTATCTTACATGCTGGTGCCTATTTTCAGCTGTCAATGGGCGAGAGGCGGGGCACACCCTGGACAGGTTGCCAGTCCATTGCAGAGCATCAGCTTATTTATATAACACCAATTCATAACAAATATCGTCTCAGGGAACTTACAAAAAAAAATTTCAGTTCAGTCATACAAACATTTCAATTGATCCTAGTTATCAAACAGTACAGTATGCTCAGTTATTTATTCAAACTAGATTAAAAAGGTTTTTCTATGGAAACCCAACAGATTGCATTAAATGATGCATACGAAAGGTTTGAAGGTTAAAGAATATAAGGAAGCAGTAAAAATACATGCATACAGCATAAAAATGCAACATTGAAAACAATCACTTGCACAATCAGTATACACAGAGACGAGGGTAATGGTGGTGTTGGGAGGGGGTATGTACACTCAGGAGCACGCAACTGTCGCCTGTGTCACCCATTCGTGAATGGGTGAATGACTGTAGTGTGAAGCGCTATGGCGTCTTAGGGACTCGATAAAGCACTATACAAGCACAAAGCCATTTTACCACTTTGTCTGCCTACAGAATGTAATGCGGTTCTGGATTGGAGTTCAGTGGATTATGATTATAGATTCATTATCGGACATATTTTCTATTGATATTGATCAATTATCTATTGTGCTAGATATCGCTATAGTTTTATCACGATAGTTTTTATTAGAATATATTGTTAGATTCTAACAACAACATATATCACAAATACACATACATCAATACAAAAGTACAGCTGGTATTATGTACAATAATTTCATTAAATTATTATTATTATTATTATTATTATTATTTAGGCAGCCATTGAATTTCCCCCACCAAAACCACTACCATAGACACTCTCCACTCTCATCATGGACCCACGAGCAAACAATAGAACCTACACAGTGGCAGTTATGTCCATTTTTGTAAACTTCCCTTGCCATCCATCCCCAAATGTTCTCAAATGGGTTTAGATCCGGGGAACATGCAGGATGGTCCAAAAGAGTGATGTTATTCTCTTGGAAGAACTCCTTTGTCAGGCGGGCATTGTGAACTGCAGCATTGTCCTGTTGAAAAACCCAATCATTAC